CGAGAGTCCTTCGGCGACGAAATACGACTGCTTCAACAAGGAAAAAAGATACCACAGTCAAGCCGCCTATACAAGTTAGACCCCGAGCTGATGAACGGAGTACTGCGCGCACGACGAAGAATAAACGCCGCGACAGTACCAGAAGAAATGAAGAAGCCGATCATATTGGACGGAAAGCACCCGTTCACACGGAAGATCATCGTGAGAGAACACGAAGCGGCGGGTCACGCAAACAGAGAGCGTGTCATCAACGAATTAGGCCGCTACTGGATATTGCGCCTACGTCCGTCGGTTCGCACCGCCACCCGCGCATGCGTGATGTGCAGAGTTAGAAGATCGAAGCCAACAACGCCATCTACAGGGGACTTACCGCGCGAACGACTCAGCCCGCACCTCAGGCCCTTCACGTGCTGTGGCCTCGATTACTACGGGCCAATGACCGTCACCGTAGGACGACGCCACGAGAAGCGCTGGGGCGCATTGTTTACTTGCCTAACCACCCGAGCGATACATCTAGAGGTTGTGGCAAGCCTTAGCACAGACTCGGCGATAATGGCGATAAGAAGAATGGCAGCGCGGCGTGGATGGCCGAAAACTATAATGAGCGATAACGCAACGAACTTCAAAGGTGCCGACAAGGAACTACAAGCGGCCATACGAGAATGGGCCCCTAGACTACAAGATTACCTGCTGCAACGGCGCGTCGAATGGAAGTTCATCCCCCCTGGCGCACCCAACCAGGGGGGAGCATGGGAGCGACTAGTGCGGTCCGTCAAGACAGCTCTAGCCACAACGCTGCACGAGAGGGCACCGAAAGAAGAGGTGCTTCATACGCTGATGACCGAAGCCGAACACGCGGTGAACTCACGCCGTTGACCCACGTATCGGTCAACCCGGCCGACGCCGAAGCCCTCACACCGAATCACTTCCTCCTAGGAACATCATCGGGTCTACCACTCACCGGCCCCTGTCGACCCTGCGACAGGCGCCAATGGCGGGCCGCCCAAGCGCTCGCCGACAGTTTCTGGCAGCGCTGGATGAAGGAATATCCTCCGACGCTGGTACCGAGAGGCGAAACAAGAAAAGAAGCCGCACTTTGAGTAGGCGATCTCGTCATCATCGCCGACCCGAACTCACCGCGCAACATCTGGCCCCGGGGAGTAATCGAACGCATCTTCCCCGGGCCCGACGGCGAGATCCGAAGCGCCGACGTACGCACCAAAGGTGGGCTGTTTCGGCGACCAACGAGGAAGCTCATCGTGCTGACCACCGAGACACTGGACACATTATCCGCACCTCTCCCGGACCAGCGGGGAGGGACGCGCTGCGATCCTGAGCCTGGCGAGCAGTCCGATCCGGCGAAAGGGGCTCCGAGCATCTCTTCGAGCGTCTCTTCGCCGGGGGGAGAACTGTTACGGACGGCGGACATGAAGACCCTTCCCCGCGACCTCACCCCCGCAACAAGTGGAGGGAGCACACCACGGGCAGCAGCGACGGGAGCACCCCCCCCGCGACCTTCACGCCGCATAGTGGAAGGGGCACCGACATAACATGAATCTATTAGGTCAATTAACGCGTTAGGATAGTAGCTAAGTGTGAACGAACAAATCCCACTTAAGTAAACCCGATTTGTATGAAAGCATGCCTACGAACGTTTTCGTACTTTGTACTGCAAATAAGAACTGGGATAAAACATAAGAATAAGAATCACCAAGATAACTTAACGCAGTATTGAGACGAAAGCAAGCTTCCTCGATTGAATTCGATCTTATATAGAGGGCTACGTCATCTGCATACTGTAAGACTTGACAGAATGAATCTACAATACTCTCTAGGTCATAAGTATAAATACTATATAGTAGGGGACTCAAAACCGACCCTTGAGGTAGACCATACCAAACAATCCTGACTATAGAAGGTGCTCCATGACATTTGATTTCAATAGACCAAGCTGAAATGTAATTAACTATAAATCGAACCAACTTCTCGATACTCTCAGCTGAATCAATTTACGTCTGAGAATTGGAAGAAGGACATTATCATAGGCGCCTGCTACATCTAAAAAAGCAGCAACTACATATTGCTTTTTATTAAAAGCTATACGAATATCAGTCGTAAGTATACTTAAATTATCCAGAGTGCTGAAACCCTTTCGAAAAGCAAACTGAGATTTAGCTAAAAGACCTTGATTCTCAAAAAACCACTCCAGACGATTCCGGATCATATGTTCTGACATTTTGAAAAGGGTGGACGATAACGCAATGGGCCTATAAGAATTATAGTCCAAAGGATCTTTGCCAGGTTTAAGCAGAGGGATAACTAGTTGCTTATTCCAGGATTCAGGGACGATACCTAAATGGTAAAAAGTATTAACTAATTTCAAATAATATAGTTTGGTTTCATCCCTCGACTTAACAAGAAACGAATATGGAATACCATCTATACCGGGGGCAGTATCTCTAAGACCTCCAAGTGCCAAGTCAAGCTCCCGCAAGGTGAAAGGATTATCTAAATTACCAACAGATGGGATGATGTCATATGTTTTTATAGGAAGATAGTCACAGTTCGGAGCGAGTTTATCAGCAAATGAGATAACTCATCCTGATGGATCGTTAGCTGACACAGATTTTGACCTCATAGAACCACGAAAACGATTCATTTGTGTCCAAATCATGCCTGCGGAAGTGCGAGGAGACATGCTTTCGCAAAACCTAGTCCAACCAAGCTTCTTTTATTGAGATAAAAATTTTTTGGAGTGAACAGCTATTTGTTGGTACTGAGAGAAGTTTTCTTCAGTCATAGACAAATTGTATTTCTTCTCTGCTTTCTTTCTCTTACGGATAATGTCTGTGCATTCGGAATCCCACCATGGTGGAGAATTTCTTTTACTTATCGTTGATTTCGTGGGAATATGAGAATTGGCAGAACTGAGAAGAGTTTCCGTGAAGGCTTCATATGCAGTCAAACAACTTGCATTACAAATTTCAGGCAATGAATTTCATTTATTTTTAACTTCTAAAGAAAAATATCTCCAATGTGCTTTATTTAAATCAAATTTCAAAAGGGACGTACTACTGAATGTTGTGAGCGTACGGTCAGGAAAAATTAAAAGAATGGGAAAGTGATCATTACCAAAGGTGCTTCTTAAAACATCCCATAAAAAAGAGAAGATAGACGCGAAGAGCAAATGGATAAGTCAACTGCACTCTGGTTCTGTGATGGGGAGTTTCTCCTTGTAGGTCTACCATTGTTCAAAACACGTAAGTCCAGCTCATCTAATAAATCAATAATTAAACTGCCAAAGGTATCGGAGTGATAGGAGCCCCATGACTCATGATGAGCATTGAAATCACCCAAAATAAGCACAGGCGGTGGCAAAGCAGAAATAATTACCCGGTGTTCCAATAAAACAGATACATTAGGGTGAGGGAAATATAGCGAAAGAAAAGAAATATCATTTATTCTAACAGCAACAGCATTAATTAGATTCCTATTATGAACAGGAAGTGGGACTTGAGTAAATAGCAGGGAGTTACTAATAATGAGAGCACTTCCTGCATAACCATCATCTCTGTCATCGCGCATACATAGATATCCAGGAATGGCAAAAATAAGAGGAGAGTATTTATATATAAAATATTGGATTTCATGCTTTTTAGAACGAAGACTATTGCTGTTCCACTGAATTATATTCAGAGGAGCCATTTTTGGTTATTAAATTTATAAGAGGTAAAATTTTCGGAGTTACGTTGGGCGGTAATGGTACGTCACTGAATTTCGACAAAATATTAGCAACAAGCAACCACTGAAGATCAAGACAATCATCATTCGGAACTATATCATTAGTACTCGAATTACCAAGGGGACCAACATTAGAAAGAGTAAGAGGACAATTCCTAATTATGTCTTGATGAGCCTGCTTGTCATATTCCTTTCCCAGGACAGAATGTTGACGAGGAGAGAGGAAAACAGTCTTTTTAAAAGACCGTGAAGTCAGAGGTGAGGGTTGAGAATGCACAATTTTAGGTTCGGTTGTAGTTGAAGAATTTACTGACTCAGAGAACAACTTTTTTACATTGGGATATAAAGCAGAAGCTTCATGGAAAGAAATATTATCTTGAGTCATTCTCATTTTGATCGATGAAATGATTCTGATATTATAATGGAAAGTGACTTCATAGTCTAATTAAGTCACATTCCAGCAGCCCTTGCTGAGTTTCTTGCCGGTTCTTCTCAGTACAAGATCCTTAGATTTGCGACCCGTTGACAAAGTTTTCGATATTCACAAGTGCTATGTAACAGCCTAGACTGAATTGATTTTGATATTTATATTAATATAATTCGACGTGTAGATGCGTAATGGTGCATATGGAAATACTGCACATAAAAAAAAAACAAACAGAATTCTGCGCTCCCTTTTTGTTCTTAATTCCAAACCTGAAATCGGATGAATCGAGTCAATTGAAGTTACGGGCAACCAATAAGTTGGCTCATCACTAATGTTGACATATAAATAACTTAAACTTACGACTCAAACAAATTAAAATTAATTTGAAAGTTTAGACATTATAAAAAAAACACGAAAGATGAGATATTTATTAATTTTTGGTACTCAATTTACTTTTATTACGTCAGAAACAAAATTTGAATGAATATCATAGACAATATTCGAACATCGCTAATGACATCTAGTATGACTTCAAAAACAATTTTTATTTTTTAAATACTTTCTCATCTCCGAAAAAAAAATCTTCTAAAAAAATCCAAGCGTAGACAGATAGTTACTCTGTCTATGACTTAGGGATGGGCAAATGGGGGAAAATATCGATATATATCGTAACAATATTCAAAGGTATCGATAAATATTGTCTGAAATATAACGATATTTTTTGCGTAATAAGCGATTATCTAAAAAAATTGACAAAATATTCGAAATTTTAAAGCAAATAAATATCTGGCTGTTTTGGTATTTAAAATAGGTACATAAAGCCTTGAAAACCACATCATCAATACAACAAAAATTACATTATTCAAACAAATCAGTATTTGTGTGATATTAACACCAAGAGTCATTGTCATAAAGAAACAAAAAAAGACAAGCAGGTTATAGACTGTAATTTCTAAACTCAAAAAACCTACTGCCTACCTACTCTTTTAAATTTTAAGAAATACATGATGCGATGTCCGAGCAGACATCAGAACTTTGAAAAATATATCGATTATGATACTAATTTGATATCTGAAAATAAATATCGAAAGCTGATATATCACGGAAAAAAATATCGCTGATTTATATCGATTTTTGTCAGAAATATATCGATATTTGATAGATTTTGCCCAATCCTACTACGACTCCAAGTATGTACGCATTGCTCTATGGTATCCGCCATTATTTGACATGCAAACTTCATTTATTTTATTTGTGTGTGATAAGCACAGACTGCCATATTATACAAAAAAAAAAAGAACAGAGTGTGGCATAGACATTTTTATTGTGTTATGAATGAAGTTTCGCATAAACTGGTGGAATCTGATGATTTTTGTAGTGAGAATAATATGCATGCAGTGCCCTATGTAGTTTGTGATTCTGAGCAAGATAAATTTATAGAATTAGCGTTTTTAAAATAAGGAAACTGGAAATATGTATCTGCGTTATAGAGTTTAAGTCCAAATAAAGCTTTTCTGCTAGTTTTAAAACATGATTGGAAAGGGATTGTCAAACACTGATTGTACAATGAACTTGGACGAAAAAGATAAATTGGCTTTACCGGTCAATAATTACTGTAGGGACTTTATTCGTGGTTTTTGTACCCGTGAGAATTGTCGATACATCCACGAAGTACCACCTGTCCCGTGCCTTAAAGAACTTTTTCGTTTCTGTCACGACTTTCAAAATAAAGGTTGCTTTAGAAACAATTGTAAATTCATTCACAGCAGTGTTGAAGAGGAAGAGAATTTTTATTACACTGGTGTGTTCCCGCGTGATTCTCGAAATACACCAGTATGTCAAGCTTATTTACATGGTGCATGTTCTAATCAGGAATGCAAGTTTGTGCATACTCCAAATGTAGTTAACCAAGAGGTTATGCCAGCACAAGTAACAGTTCCTTCTCAATTTAGTAGACCACCTCCACCTATCAGGGATGAAGATTCACCACCAGAACCTAAGTTTAGAAGATTCACTTATGATGAAAATAATCTAGAGAAACAAGTTCTGTCCGCATCCAATTTGTGTCTTAATTGTGAAAATTTAGATCACAAAGTAAAACTGTTACATGATAATATTAGTGTACTACTTAAAAAAGTTGCAGATTTAACAGAGAAAAATCTGCAGTTGACTTCTATGAATGAATTTTTATTGGAACAGACTGCATCTGTAAGAACTGACCAGCCTTGTGTTATCACATCACGACATGGTACATCAGCACCTGTGTCACTTGCAACTGTTAGTATGACACCTGTAGTGAGCTTAGCTGGTGCTTTGCCAGCTTTGGTACCAGCAGCAGCTACTCCTAACTTGGCATTAGCTCCTGCTGCTTCCCGAGCACAGTTATTGACACCGGCTCCTCAAATTTTAACTGTAAGCACAACTCAACAACTAATGGGTAATTCTGGAGCTCTTATAGTTACAAGTGCTGGAGCACAACAGCTGATGCAAGTTAGTGACTCAGGAACTTTGATGGGTGGGGGTCAGACAGTTGTAGCAGTCACACCAGCACAATTAACTTTAGCACCTCCAGCTCAACAGTTGATGAGTAATGCACCACAAACTGCAGTGCAACAATTGGTTCAGCAATCTGCTTTACAATCACAAGTTGTACCACAACACCAAAATCCACAATTTGCAGCCCAACAGTCAGCAGTACAGCAATTAGCAGTTGCTCAGCAATCTGCTCAACATTTAGCTGCACAACAATCAGCACAACATTTAGCTGCTCAACAATCGGCACAACATTTAGCTGCTCAACAATCAGCTCAACATCTAGCAGCCCAACAGTCTGCCCAACACTTGGCAGCACAACAGTCTGCTCAACATTTAGCAGTAGCTCAACAATCAGCACAACAATTGGCAGCAGCAGCACAACAGTCTGCCCAACAAATAGTGGCACAACAGTCAGCCCAACAACTTGCAGCTCAGCAATCTGCTCAACAACAACTAGTACCATCAGCTCAACAATTAGTGCACCAAACATCCACACAACAGATTACAATTTCAAGCACTAGTCAACCAATGGCATTGCCAAATTCGCAGGCTCAGCCCATAACATTCCCAATTATTTCACAGAGTATATTGCCTCACTGAGAGTATTTTAGAATTGGGTTGAAGTGTACATAAGCCTGGCCCTAAAAAAAAACCCCTCTTTTTCATCTCTTTTGTGTTTACGCTACTCAAAGGCTAGTAAGCCAGCCCAGCTTTACTAGAATATAAAGGAAAGGAAAAAGCTTGGAAAATTTCTGATCAATTTTAACCTAACATTGTTTACTGTCTTTAGGATAAAATCGAAAAATCTACTGAAATTTTCCAAGTTTATTTCATCAGTGCTTGTTATACACAACAACAGAGCATTGTTGTCCAACTTGGTATAAGTAGTAATTTTTATAAGTAAATGAGTTCTGTAATGTTATAAATTTATAGCAATATAAAATATACCAATTGGTAGCCAGAGGAGTTATGAATGTTATTGATATATCACAATTACTCAAATATATGTGTAAACTGTGATCTGATTTATACATCTAGGTATTTTTCAGCCAGGAGGAATTTTTACTGATTTTTTTTTTGCATTTATTATGGAATATCAAGGATTTTCAGTTTAAAAATTTAACAGATATAATTTTTATAAACTGAAAGATTTGAAAATTCTTTGTTTATAAAGATTTGGATGTTTATTTCATACAATACAGTATGTTTGTAAAAAAAAACTCAATTCAAACCTAATTCCAAAATCTTTAACAAAATTTGCTGAATAGAGAATGTTAACTCAAGAAAAAATTTAGAATTATATAATTTGAACACTCATTTCATGTCACATCTCATAACTAAAGCAGTGATCACAATATTACATTACATAAATAACAGTTTGATGAAGAAAATATTCTAAATAAATATATACCAAGACTTAAATTTCCTTTAAAGGGGATGTTAATATTGAACATTCAGTTTCTCCATCTAGAAATCGTTGTTGAATTTGGATGAGTTTTCTTTTATTTAGGTGACTTGGTGTTTGTATGAAAATTACACAGTGACTTATTAAAATTATTGTCAGTGGCTTTAATTTCAGTATACTTATTTATTGCTTATGATGAATGACGTGTTTATGGTAGTTAACACGTCAGGTTCCACAAATTTCTCCACTTGATTATATATACTTTAATATGTTTTGGGTAGGTTGTAGGTATATGTTCATAATTAATTGCGGAAATTAGAAATATTGTGGTAACTTGACGTGTTGCTGTGTGTACATGTTGTTCTAAGTTAGGTTTATAGTCTTGTAGAGATAGTCATTAGATTTGTTAGCGTTCGAATAGCTGGTTGTCTGTCACGAGAGTTTTTGTGGAAAGTATAGCAAAAATGCTTGTTACTTCTGCCTTCATGATAAATAATTAGCACCCATAAGTTTCAATGTCAGAACGATGAGTGAAATATTTAGATATTTCTCTTAGGTTCGGTGCATATCTGACGGAAATTCGACACGGAAAGTTAGCATTCCGAAACCAGTGACAGAATATAATTTCCGTGATACCCTCAATACATCTTACAACAGATTTGTACCGACCGACCCTCGCTTGGCGCGCTTGAGCCACTTTAATAAGTGACTTACACAGGCAACCCAGCTATTATGTCGCTAGATTTTTTCTTCAACTATAAGGTATATATTTGTAATTTATTTTACTATTAAATTAAATGGAATGTTTTGAACTGGCTTTGTTTAATTTGTTTCTGTCTGTACCCTAAAAGGACAAAGTAAGAGTAACTTCTTTGTCCGTTGCACAGCTGATTTTATCGGAATTTTAGTTGATAACAAATTTTAATTGTAATTGCATACTTTATGAGCGACATATCTAACCAAAAGCCCAGTACCTATAAGGGTTTATATGCGCATGCAAAGCTTCATCGAAACCTTGCAAGAATTTGCAAAAACAAGATAAACACAAGTTTAAATAAGTTTGTAGAAACAGAAATATTATAGACCAGTTTATCTCGATTTTTTTATTTGTCGGACAAATAACGAATAGGGGAGAAAACTTTAAATAAAATACTCAAATTCATATATATTCAGATCTTTTAATGCTTTATATCTACTATTTTATTAATATACATGAATTATGATACATTAACATATGACGATTATGTATTTTAATTATTTTTTAACTAAATTAAGCACATATCTGTTTACAATAGTGACAGTCTACTAGATTCAATCTTCGAAAGAATGTAATTATACTTAACTATTTACAATTATACTACTTAGGCATAAAGCGACGTCAAGTGGTACAATCATTTTTCCAAATTTTTTTCAATGGGTTCTTCTTGTGTTTGACACTGCAAATAGGAAGGTAGACGACCTTGCCTTTCGCTTTTAATGTTGTGTATTTTTGATCGATGACCTTGTAATATTTTTCTAAAATAAAAAAATGTTTTATTTAACTACACATATTTCATGTAACTTTATATAGATACTATATGATAAAATTAATGGACTAAATGGCGATAGCCAATATAGTTTCATTTTATATTTTTATACACTATATTTTATTCTTTAGATTTTATTACAAAAAGATTAACTTGGGTACAATGGCGCCCAACGTGGGACCACCAAGACAAAAAACTGAGTGAATTAAGAAAAATAACACGGTCGCAGTAAATTTACGTGAATATTGCACTTATTATCAGCATAGTAAAACTGATATTAGTTAAAATCCATATTATTAAACAGAGACTAAGTAAATTACTCCTGGAGGTGAAGAACATGTTTTTTATTTTGACTAGTACTAAGTGGAATCTTAGCATAAATTTATTCAGACGTTAAACCTTGTTTATTATAAATAACGATTGATAGTAAGGTGTTTTGATCTAACTTAAAATGTTTAAAAAAACCTTATGAAATTGCTTTGTTTATTACTAATTGTGGAATATGGTAGGATTTTGTTATAAATAATACAAAAATAGTTATACTATAGTTTGCTACTTCTTACATACTTATAAGAAATAACATTCAACTCATTAAAACACTTATTCAACTATAAAATACTGTTATACTCAGACCAAATAAAAAGTATAGACGGAGTTTTGCCTGACAGAAAAGTGAAGCCGACAAAACTACGCCTCGGCGTATTCGTACACAGTTTCACGCACACATACATAACGAAACAACGCCTTCCTTATCAGTCTAAATAAAGACAGTGTGCGGAACGTTTCATTATAAAAAAAATCAAAAATTTCTTACTAACTGCCGAATTGTGTAGTAAAAGGTTGTAAAAAACAATTCTCGAAAAATAAAAAGTAGGATGGAATCACATTTCACACATAAGTATTGGAGAAAACTTACATTTTCAGTAATTTAAAAATTAAATTTAAGTTAACACAGATCACAGATATTGAAGTGTTAGAATAAGGAAGTAAAAAATAAAAAAAACTGGTTTTATTTTTTACTTCTTTATTTTTACTAAATGGATTTCAGTCATTCGTAATAGTCGAAATGAACCTTCATGGAATCCAACTTGGCGCAGCGTAGTTTGTTCGACTCATTTTAAGAGCGATGATATGTATTATACTATAAAAGGGTTACGTCGAATAAAGCAAAACTTATATCCAAAGGTTTCAAACTTTCTATATATTAAAATTTTAGTTAACATAGTGGAAGTTTTCAAACTTAACTTAAAAATTAATCAAATAGTCTCTCTGACGTATGACCTCCAATAATGATTACCTAAACTCTAAGATTTTAGAATATCTATGCTGATATCGACAAACAAATTTACATTATATTATTAAATAGCATAGCGTTAACGTTAACTCCATAACGTCGTAACGTTAAGTTATTGGGGTGTTTTTAATGACTATGGTCACATTGGCACGCACACTACAATAGGGATGATGACTGGGTAAAAAAAATGCAATTCTATTTAGTCCATCAGTCAGATAATAGAAAAATATTAGATACGTATTTTTTTTTTACTTCAATTTAACAAGAAATAGTATAGATAACAGGCATTGAAGTTGAGGAGTGGGAGCTCGCTACGTCATAGTTGAGTAGAAAACGTACTCTAACGTGACGTCATGCGAAATTACAACTCAATGTAACGCCGTAATTTTATGATTACGAAAAAATAAAAAAATACATGTTTAATATTTTTTAACACTTTACCTGACGGACAAACAAACAAAAATTAGTCATCATCCCTATTGCTAAAAATCGGCTTCACTTTGTTATTCAGCGAACTCCGTCTTTACTTTTAATTTGGTCTGAGCTGTTATACGGATTGTTATACTCACTTTGTATTGAATTTCTTAAAGCAGACATCACATTCTACCGTTCCTTGCCGCAAATGTGTGTCTTTCATATGCCTCTTCACATCATGTTGATAAGAGAATGCTTTGTCGCAGTAAGTGCACTGGAAGAAGCGGTTGTAAAATCAGACAGAGGCAAGATCGTCCTACGTAAAATTTGCTCATTATACAGTTTTTTATAACGATTTCTATTTCAAGGTTAACCCCAAAATTAAGAATAAATATGCCTAATAGAGGTGAAAGTATAAGTGAATTAGAATCGAAATTACATAGGACCTTAAAATAGTAGGGCATACCAACAATAGCTTGCTTTGTTATGTAAATAAATGCATTGTGTCCGTTTTCTGGTTCACATTTATACATCACTTATTAGTGCTTTCATTTTTATTAATATCGATTCTGTATTACTGCTAAAATATTGCAAGTGATTGTAAAAAGAGAGTAAGTGACTAATAAAAATTACAATGAAACTCCTGAAGATTTTCTTCCTTTTGTTGATGTGACAAGAATTAGCACATATTACATGCTTACCTTAAATGGTCGGGTGGTGCTGTGTACATGCCGCATATGTTTTGCAAGATTGCTAGCAGTAGTGGTGGCTTTCGGGCATTGAGTACATTTAAAAGGTTTATCTACCATGTGAGATCTCTTGTGTACTTTCAGTAAGTCCATTGTACGCCCTTGGTAAGGGCACACTTCACACTTGAAGGGAAAGACATTCTCATGAGTGCTCCTAAAATTAAGTAGAATGTACATTAATTGGTTCCTATATAAAAATATTACAAGTATGGTAATTAAATAGAAGACAAATTCTTACATATGAATTAGAAGACTAGCATTTGAAGTTGAGATTTTCCCACAAATGTCACAAAGAAATTTCCTTCTTACTTTGTCTTCTTCCAGTGAATTTGAATTTTTTTTTGCTTGTGGCAAGCAAGTGGACAGATGATGATTGTAAGATTCCTGTAGGATTACAGCAACTATTGTTTATTAAGTTTTAATAGCTTGAAGGACCAATTTTGAATAGCCGATGATAATATTATGCTGAAGTCTCATGTAACATTATTTTTATTTTTATTATATGAGCATTGATTTATAACACTAAAATAATAAATTTGTGCACTAGGATATCATGGTACCATTTTAATTTATATAAATACATTCATACTTCTTAGCTTCTTATATAAATACATACATACCAAATTTTCAAATGTTTTACTACATGTAGAACAGCCCCAAATCTCTGAATTATCCACAGAGAAGGTTGGTGATGGAATACTAAATGAATCTATACTTTCGTCTTGGTGTTTTTTATCTCTTTCATATATCTTGTTTTCTGTGAACCAAGGATATTTAATGTATATTATATAAATATATACTATATAAAGTGTACAAATGGCCATCTAATAAGCATTTCAATATTCTCTGTTCTTCGATAACATATTACTAATATAGGTAAAATAAGAGGTTCCCAAACTTCTTTCTTTTCCGCATATTAAAATTTACTCCTGCAGATTGTGATTAGTGACCAATTTTGTAATAGAGTAAGTTGATGATTCTGATTTGTAAATTAACAACTATTTTAAATACAATAGTTAATTAAACCCAACCTGTCTTTACAGCTACTTTTACAATATTTTTGTTACTTCTTTGGCACAACTCTCTAAACATGATGCATCCATTCAATAGATCAAGGCAGCTTTGACACATGTAGTTTGAAGTATTTGGGATTTCACTAAACTAAAAAAAAAACAATTATGCAAATTATATCATAATATAAACATATGAAGTACAAATTACATCTAGTAACTGAAATATTAAGTTATGCTCAGTTTTATTTTCACCAAACAGATATCTGGAAAATTTATATGGTTTATTGGCTGAAAGGTTAGCCATTAGTGATGCTTGTGCAAGAATGCACCAACTCTTTGTTTTTCGATCAAATCTAATTTATTAATTCATTACTAAAGTGAAAATTTTATATTGAAAAGAAGACAGATTTTGGAATCTCATCAAGAACATCTTCTCTTTAGTGTAAGTAAATATATTAAATATGAAAACTTAGTGAAATACTGCATATTCAATTTTAACAAAGTAATGTTAACACAAAAAAGAATGCAATTGATGTCAGTGTGTTGTGAACAAAAAAAATTAAGAATCAGTGGCAACAGGATTATTTACAATAAGAGGCATTTTTACACAGACAAAGATATCAATATAAAGTTACTTACTGCAACACCAGAAAAATGTTTAATATCATCAGGAATGTTTGGATAAAGTATATTATTAAATATTGGTATAATTCCTAGTTCCTTATAACAAATCCTGCATTTATGACTTTTATTTTTCTTCTTTTTTGCAGAAATTCTACAAGTGAATTAAACTGATAAATCGCAATGAATTCTATTTATCATAAAGTTTAAATTTAAATTAATAAGTGAAATAAATAATGCATAGAAACAGGGAATTTTATAAAATAGGTAGGACGATTATTATTGATGCTTACTTTTTCTTTTTTTTGCGAGCATTATGCAAAGCATTTGAAAAAAGAATTGACTTTAATAATATAAGGGACGTCATATTTATATTAAATAAATTCAAATAATATTAATTTTATATAAAAAATTCACAATTATCTCCTCTACTTAATACAAACAAAAATAATTTTTTGTATTGTTTTTAACTAGAGATGGGTGTGCAGGTTCGAAAAATCGATATATATCAATATACTAACTCCCAACATCGATATCGAATGAAATGCAAAGTGTAAAAATATATAATATAATAATATTTATTTACACACAGCCAAAATACAAGAAAGTAAATTAAAAATTAATACTTAAAATTAAACATTATAATTCAATGGCTAGCCGAGCTAGTTTATTACTGTATTTCGGCTAACAGCGCCCTCCCAGCATTGTCTATATCATCACTATTAAAAGATTATGGTAGTTAAATTAATTGGAAATTTGATAAAACAATTAGATAATACATAAAAAAAAAACAATATAAAAGTATAAATAAAATTAAATAAGGAGGTTCAAGTGAATACCACCACATGAAGTAGGAACAGGTTTCTTGGAAGTAAGCTATACAAGCTACAGTTCCTAAATTCTATAGCTACTAACAATTACTGGCAATAAATAAAAAAATATTTTAAATTTAAGTTTTCATAAACAGGATTTTTTTTAGCTCCAGATCTAAAAAATGTCAATAAAAAGTTGATTAACATAACGATATCAACTGTTACCGATATACATTATCGAACTCGACATGTCGATAGCTTGAAAGCAGAGAATGCAGTCCACACAGCATATATTTTCTTAAATTTTATTATGTACGAGTACACAAATTTAATTAACTTTTTGTTTTACTGTACACCACTACACCTGACTGCCATCTAAATGAAGTAATGAGTACTGAGTGAGTCTAGATGAAGTGATGACACGCACAGCTATTATACTATTGCTATAATATGCTAGCATGTCGACGGCGGACGTCGAGCCATGTGTTAAGTTAATTCGTACGGTGAGTATGTGTTTTTTGGTTCTTACAATAATATTGTTAATAATAGATTGACTTCTTACACAACCTACTCTAGAAATCAGTTTTATTGAAATATATTATTTACTAAGTACCTAGAGTAGTAATGCTCTCTTAAAATCTCTGCGGTGGTATCGTGTGCGTTAGGTCGTTACGTTCCCTCAAATATAGTATAGTTGAGTTATATAGTTGATATTAAAAAAGCAGCCCTTTCTGAGGTTCTTGCCGATTCTTGTCAGTACAGGATCTCCCGCTTTAGTTTTGCGAACCATTGGCAAAGTTTTCAACTTTTACAAGTACTATGTAACAGCCTAGACTGAATTGATTTTGATATTTATATTAATATCATTCGTTTTGTGGATGCATAATGACACATACAAATACAAGCTGAATTCTGCACTCCGCTTTTTGTTTTTCACTCCAAACCTGAATTCGAATGAAAGTTACGAGCAATCAATAAGTTCGCTCATCACTAATGTTGACGTATCAACCAAACATCGTTCCTTTACTCGTAACATAATAAACAACTTAAACTTACGAGTAAAATAAATGAAAAATTAATTGGAAAGTTAGATATTTTAAGAAACACAAAACGATATCACATTTTTATTAATTTTTGATACTCAATTTGATTTCATTACGTCAGAAACAATATTTGAATGAATATCATAAACAAAATCCATACATCGCGAGTGACATCTAGTATGATATCAAGAACTAATTTTTATTTTTTAAATACTTCCTCATTAATGGACGGCCCCATATTAAAAAACTGAAATTTGAAAAGTTCGAAACTTAGATATCAATACAAATAAGAAAAAAATACAAATAGAATATGAGTTGTTCATTGAGTTTTGAAAATTAATTTACTTTTATACATGAAAGAAAACCGGAAGGGTTGTCATGAAGGAATCTATCGGTACTCTATATCGGTACTTGGTCGGTCACTCACTGAGGAAAAATATATAAAACTTTCGTACATTTGACTGTTTACTCAGTAGTAAGGTGTCTAAAGTCTGTCTCATGAAAAGGTCCCAACGGCATGGCGTCCCTATCGTGTGACGTAGATTGCTAACCTCTTTTACTAATTTTATGTAGTTAGTGATACAAACAGTGACGTATGTCACTGCCAACAAAATTTTGAATAACTATACGCATCACATTTTGTATAAAGGAACAAGTCCATATTAAAAAAAAAAAGCCTGGAGCTGCTTTTCTTTTTTCCAATAACAGACTATTGCTATTGGTTATTAATAGTATCAAATCTGCAATAAAATGTAAATAAGCATTGCAAAAGCAAATGCCTGCAATAGGCATTTAAAAACTATTACTTTTTATTCGATACTTACTAGGAATCGATACCTCGTGTCCGATACAGTATTGAGTAAAAGAATCGATACCTAGGTGGTATCGTAATCAATGTATATGACTGCGATTGTTTTAGTATATTTATTACGATATTGAAGTTTGCTGCTACAATAGTTAATAACAATATAAAATGTTTTGTTATTATTCTAAGGGTAAAACCAAAGGGAAAACGCTATCTTTTGCGTCAGTCTCAGTAGGGTGATTAGAGATATGCTTTAATTAAACACAATTTAAGGCACATAAAAAATTGAGAAAATGATTAATCCTTATTTACAAAAACGATAAAAAAGACATTTTTTTGATAAGTAATCGATATTTCTTAAAATCCTCTATTTTTTACAAACATCTCTAGTTATTATTTTGACATCATTCGTTTTGACATTTGTTAATGATTTGGGAATGGATTGTTCATTGGGTTTTTATCATCTATAAGCAAAATAAACTGAACCTGTGAGTGATAGCAAGGAAAAAACTAACGATGGCTGTCTATGTGACTAAGGCTATGTTAGCTAAGTTTAACAACAAAATTGAATGCCCTTACTTGCCCGTGAAGGAAGACGAAACATTTCGTAGTGATAGTCATTGGCATAGCATTTCAATGGATAGGTGGGTAATTGCAAGCTACTTCTTTGATCATCTTGATATTAAATTACAACTTAAAATTATAGAAATTAACATTTTTATATTTTGTCATACAAAACTGTAATGTGACGAAACTTTATTTCCAGTAACCGACGTTTAATACACAAAGATATCAATAAATATTTCTTTATTTAATATTTTGTACTTATTTTCAGTGGATCATTATCGAGAGGGTCAATTTGCCGAGTATGTGGTAAATATGGTGATAGACCTTTAAGTGAAAAGATTAATGGATATGATATTATGAGTGCCATCTGCAGTATAACCAATGTTACAGTATGTATGAATTCACTATTATTAACTTACAATGTACAATTAACAGCTCTCAGGTTATTTTAGAAGGTCAAAAGAGATGTTTCAGTTTTCTATACTACCGTGGATATGACCATGTACATTAGGTACATATGAATATTTGTTTGTTATCTCTATCTTCATTTAATTTAATTCTGGCAACCTATCTTATGAAAAAGCATTAATGTTTTAAATATGTATAATTTGTTTAGAAACTAATATGATTTTTCTGCATATTTTATTTAAATTTGCTCTGTCAAATTGAGAATGAAAAACTTTTTCTCCAATTGATTTTGAACCTTAATTTGTTAAAATGATATTTGAATAAAAAGAAAAATTATAATTCAACATTTTTAGAACTAATATATAATATTTTAATTCTTTTAGATAAGTCCTGATGATTCACTTCCAAAATATATCTGCCAGGATTGTCATGAAGCTTTGAAAATTGCAATGAATTTTAAAAATACATGTGAGATGGCTGATCGTAAGTTCAGAAGAATATTGTATCCCATGGGTATGTGTTTTGTTTTTATTCAAATTTTAATTTATTTCTTTTTTTAATGAGATATATATCTTTAACAGGTGATCCATCTTTCCATTCATATCCATATTCCAAGCATGATTTCCAAATGATTTTACATCATATGAAATTAAAACAAATGGAAATCGAAGAGCAAAAAGAAAGATTACGACAGAAAAAACTGGATATTATAGAGCAAAAAAAAGCCCCTAAAGTGAAGCAATTTAATTGTTCTCCATGTGATATGACTTTCCCAAATAAGGTTTGTTTTATTATGGAGTTCCAATAATAATATTTTTTTATTCAGCTATTATTGTAGATAGTTTAACTACCCATTGCACAAACTTTTAATTTGATATGTTTGTCACAAATAAAATAACAATTCATAGGCACAAGATAGCATAGCATAAGTTGTCACTTTGGCTCAGCTACAGTTTCCCGGGTTTCATAGCCATGTGAGAGTACTCTGTAGAATTTTTAGAGGGTAGGCTCCAGTGGTTTTATTGAGCAAATATCTACTGGTTGGACCCACAGAGAGGAATCTTACATAACCTTGTTGCTCACTAGGCTGCAGATGCTTGAAGCATTTCATCATCATCATCAGCCCTTTTACGTCCCCACTGCAGGGGCTCAGGCCTTCCTTATGGATGGTTAAGGAGGATGGGCCATGACCCTCCACGCTGGCCCAATGCGGATTGGAGGGTATTAACTACTGCAAATGCAGCCGGGACCAACGGCTTAACGTGCCTTCCGAAGCACGGAGTAGCTCGAGATAATAATTTTTTGGTCGCCCATCCCGTGACCGACCCTTGCGAAAGTTGCTTAACGACTACGATCGCAGGCCGCGGCGCTTATCCACTACGCCACCGAGCTACTCTATGCCACCGAGCTACTAGAGTTTAAGCTATATTAAAAAAACTGATACTGATTCAACATCAGTAGTAAGACACTTTAGGCTGCAGAGTAATATTAGTCAGTTTTAATTTCTACTTCAACTTATATGGTCTCTCATCTCTACTTGAAAATGATAAATTATTTTTATTTATTTTAGGAAAAATTGGTGGCACATCGTCGAGAGCGACAATGTATGCGGCGAGCCTGCGACATTTGTGGACAGTTGGTGCTCAGCATTGGGCAGCACAAGCGGCATATACACAAGCAAAATGTGACTCACAAATGTCCCACTTGTGGGAAGGAATTTCCAATTATTGCACGGCTAAAGAATCACATGTAAATAAATAATCTCACTTTAAATGTTCAGTTAGAATTATTGTCTGTTATTGTTATTCTTTTAAGGGTGTTATTTTGCGGCACAAACGGCCGTGCTTTTTTATGTTAATTTACAAGTTTCTACTGTACTGTTTTTACTGTTAATTGGTGTATTCAATAATTTCGACTGTGTTCCCATAATGAAGGTCTGACACAGACAGACATTTGATATGTGATCTTAAAATTGTTCCATTTATTCCTTTTCCAGTACAGAACCCTATAAAGGATATAATTGATAAGAACGGTTGCGTACATATTTAAAATACTGTCTTAAATTGTTATATAGGCTTATCCATACAAACACATTCAACTTCTTCTGCGACCTGTGCCCATACAAGTGCAAGCACAAGTACTACCTGGTGATGCACATGCGTACCCATACCGGTGAGAAGCCCTATAAGTGCAATCAGTGTACCGCCACATTTGTCAACCCTTCAAATCTTAATAAACACAAGCTCACACACCAAGAGAAACAGTTCAAGGTAAGATTCAATATCGGTTACTTATAATGATTTAGTGGAAAGACGACCCAAATGATGACTGTATGAATATAAATCTTAAATAACATATTAAGCGCCATCTATAAATAACGTCATACGTTATTAGGTTATAACATTAGAACAAGAAAGAGCTTTGACAAGGAGAGTGGGGAGATTTTATAAAGCTGCAATCCATAAAATACAATCATTTTTCGGGTGATGTAAAATTCGTTCTGAGAGTCACCAAATGCTATAAAGTTATTGATAGTTGTTTTATTTTTAGTGTGGAATGTGTGAGAAGGCTTTCCGAACAAACACAGCACTTCGGGAACACCACGACGCTACGCATATGAACATAAAACACGCGTGCAATTACTGTGGTCGGGACTTCTGCTATAAGTATGAAAAAAAAACTTTATTATATTTGATCAAGTGTCAAGTCAGAGTGCCACGGACAAAGTGGATTCTTTAAACATTTCATTAAAAACTTTTTAGTTAATTTTTTCGCAGTTCAGCACTTAAATAAAACATAATATATAATTAAGATGTTTGTTTTTAATAGATCTGATCTACGTAAACACGAGATACGCAACCACAATCGTATAAAACGCGACTATGTAGGCGGCGAACCGACCTACAAACAAGTTGAGAGACTGCAAAAAATGCAAGATGTCGGTAATTCTATTGAGAAATGGCGCACCGAGGAGATAATATTGCAGCAGCCGCAAATAGTGCAAACTACTTACATCGATCACAACAAAGAGTTCCTGCCGTCTACTCATTCAATGTATTTTTCTGACGTCACTGGAATGATACATCAGCAGCCACAGTTAGGTAAGTTTCAGATAACATGAAAGTAAATGTGGCTATTTCTAATATTGACAAGCATCTATTTGACGTGTTTGTCTAGTCTCAAATTCGATCCCGCCTTGGAGAATGGTATGATGATATTGCCGGATATTTTTTTTCTTTCCTACAATATAATCTCTACATGGCTAGATTAATTTCACGAAAGGACTAGTATTGGTACGTCTAAAAAGGAGAATATTCTTAAAAACATACATCCGGCACTCTGGAGATTACTTATTTGTCCATTTTATATTTTTACCCGATTGCGCGACGCAAAGGAGGGTAATGTGTTTATCAGTCTATGTATGTATGTTTGTTTCTATGTGGCGTTCTAGAGACCAAATGCGTAGGCCGATTTTGATGATTCTTACGTCAATCGATTCGTCTTAACCTTGCGAGTGTCACTAAAGACATGACAGTAATCACAATTCACCACAGCGACAACCAGCGGCATATTGTCAAAATGAAAAAATCGATGAACTATATCAAATAGGGTGTCGTTGAATTAGTATTTTAAAATCATCTTTAGGTTCCTCTTATCATTTTTCATTTTCAATAATAGTTTAGGATATATAACCATTTAAAGTTGTTTAACAAAACATTATCGCTAATTTTCTTACTTATTGATTTAAGTTTTCATTTAAAGTATAAACGGTATACAAACAAATAAAAAATCAGTGAAAAAGCGTGAAGAACAAATATTTTTGGTTAAGTTATCTAAGTAATGTATAAAACGGAAAATCCCACTAATAGTGACAATTTACTCCATTATATAAAGTTAAGTTATCATTGATGTTACAGGCACAGTAGATAATATAATTTATCAACTGTGTTACAGGTTTCGTTTTAGTTAGTGTTTTTATTATTATATCATTGCCTCCAGTATTAACTCTCTTTCGTAACAAGGATAAATCCGGACAATTATGGATTTTTCACTGCCTAACTAGACACTCACTCTGTTGCTTACATTTTCAATAGATGAGTACTCAATAAAATGTTAATTCGACATATTTTAAGGGTTCCGGACCCAAAGGGTAAAACGGGAACTTATTAAGGAATTATTAAGGAAACCGGGGAATTATTAAGACTTCGCTGTATGTCTGTCAGCAAGCTGTATCTCGTGAACCGTGAAAGTTGACAGTTGAAATTTTCACAGATGATGTATTTCTGTTCCCGCAACAGCTAATATAAATAATACTAACAAAATACATATTTACGGGGGCTCCCATACAAAAAACTATTTTTATTCGCTACGGAACCCTTCTTGCGCGAGTTCGACTCGCACATGGCCGGTTTTTTTATGAGAAGATGATATATATTTTTACTTAGCTCATCGAGCTACGGGACACACTAATTTGCTCTGGGCCACGTATATATGGCGTAGACATTTTACGGTCGGCGTAACAAAGTTTACTAAAAAGGGGATAAAATGTGTAAAAGCATGACATGTCGTCAGTTTATCGTCAATCCCGAACGTGTTTGGAGCAACTGAGCTATTTGGAAGGGTATTTTGTAGGAATCTCGGCATCTTAAGCAATCGAAGTGTTAGTGAAACATCTATAATAATTTTTTGTTATTATTTTATTACTAAGGGGGCCAATTCTACTAAATAATTTTTGTTTAAATCGAATCGAAAACGGATCGAAACTGAACGAAACTACAGTTTTTAATTGTTTTCCTATTCTACAAAGAGACATACGATACAATTCCAGTTCTATTTTAGCTGGATTGTATCGTATGTCACTTAGTAGAATAGAAAAACCATTAAAAACTGTAGTTTCGTTCGGTTTCGATCCGTTTTCGATGGGATTTAAACAAAATTTATTTAGTAGAATTGGCCCCCTGAATCCATCCAAAATGTAGCTAAGAAAAAGATAAGTGCACGAAATAATTTCCTGAAAATGAAATGTATTGTGAAAGTTTAAGGTAATCGATATTTTGCAATTTATCATTAGCATATACACAGTTAAATTGAAATCGAAAACATTCGTTTCCCTTTTCAAGACATTCAAGTAAAAGAAATTACTGAACTATTTCATTTATTCAGAACGTAATTATTTTGTTGTCATAATTATGAACAGTTTAGTTCTACTTTGTTACATGGAAGTTGTGTTGTCCAACTTTCTCAAAATATTTCTCATGCTTGTTATAAAGGTACGGAAGTTACAGGTAAAGCTTGACACGATCCCCTCGGGTAACTTAAAGAGTAACGATCCACAACTTTGCGGCCCGAACAGGCGTTTTAAGTTTATATACTACGTCTACTATAAAATATACTACCTACTTTCTTAAAAGCAGTATATAAACGCAACTTTTTAACACCGTGAACTCCATGAATCCTAGTAAATAAACATAACAGTCCGCATAATGTGAATCATTGGAACTTAGCATAAATATGAGGTCAATTTCGGTGGTTTATTCACGGGGCCTATTTCAGAAACGATGATTTTCGAAATATTTATTAATTTCCTCGTTTAAAAAAATCTCAGAAACGATGATTTTCAATTTTTTTTTAATTTCCTCGTTTAAAAAAAATCTAACCTAATATAAGAATAAGGCCGAAGAATTTGTTTGTTTAGTTGAACGTGCTAATTAATCTCTGGAACTTTTTCGTATTGAAGTATAATTTTTGTGTTGAAAATTCCATTTATCGAGGAAGGTTGTATACAAGAAATTAAGCTTGATAGTTTTACTTTTAAAATCGTAATATATAGGCACTAACGCCGTAACGTTTAAATTTTTACCAAGGCGGTTTAGTTGGTAGGTAGGTAGGTAGTTAGTTGGTAGGTAGGGGGACGCTTGACTGACGAGAATTACTAAAACGAAAAATGATCTTCGCACACCCTAATTAATTAAAATACCTATCCAACGTTGCCTAATGGGAAGACATATAGGGGAGGTACCCTTAAAATTTACTTTACCACTTCGTTGGCGGAATTAACGTGTATACTCATGTCAAATAGTACCAATAGTTTTTGAGCTAAACCACGTCCGTCCGTGGTCTCAAAAACTATATATTACCTAAAACCTATTTATTATGGAACCTTAAAAATAGACTGTTTTACTATAAAACATAACATTATAATACTAAAATAAACAAATTTTTGGACGACGAGTCATGCCATCCACGTCACGCTGCGGTAAGCATTCGGATAAGCGGTAAGCCATGTATCTGATGACATGTCTCGTCACGTATGTGGCCGCCACTTTATATTATGGCTCTATTACTAATATGTCTCACCACGTTTCCACCAACCGAACCCTACATACTAATGTACCTACGTTTCCTTACGAAACTATTTCCGGAAAATCTCACAGGAAATTAAATTCAACGCGACGAAGTTGTGAAATAATTATTTGATGTTCTAAATTTCAGAATAATATAAGTTTCAATGTTGCTTAAATTAAAGTGTCTGTTTATATTGTTACAGTTCAACAACAGACTGTTCAACTAACTCTGTAAGTATTGTTTCTGTTGTTTCTAATTGTCGTTAGGTTAAATACAAAAGGTCAATGTAGTAAATGAACTTTTCTATATTATCTCCGGTCTGGGTGTTGCGTTGTCCTTTGTTGCCTCAATTATTCCATAATACGAGAACTTGAACTTCTCATTTTGGAATCTTGTCTAATATTAATTTATTTCATACAAAATAAACATGGTAGCTAAAAAAATACTTCTATTCACTACTTGCCAGATAATATGTGCGGTGCTGAAAATTTGCTTACTAAGGTACCGGTTAATTACCCGCAACTCGTTTGTTGGCGTGTCATGTCGCGAGGGTTGTAATTAGGGTCACCAAGTGTCGGGACATCGTCGAGACAAAATCGATTTCTGTATAATATAAACTGCAACAAAAAACACGATCTTTGCGGAAATATTGAAATTGCTACTTAGTCGATGCCAAGCTTTATTTGCGTTGGAACCCTGTTGGAAACCAAATAATTAACCGAAGTCCTAAAGTGTAACAAAAACCTAACCTTTTGCTAATGTTTATTGATAATAAATTACATACATATTATTTATGTGGACTCCCAATATATGTTTCGCGTAGCCCTAGTGCTTCGATAAACATAATAAAAAATCGCCTAGTACCGTTATAGAAAAGCAAGTAGGCACTTTAACAACCGGTTATTTTATTATTAATGAAAATTAATTTATACTTTTTTTGAGCTAATAAAGTGCCAATTCAAAAAGGGTCTATGACATTTTGTAAACCAATTTTTTATGTTGTTTTAATTTGAAAATGGACGTAACATTCCTTAAATACATAGTCAATTATTCAAATATATAGTAGGAAAAAAATGATTCTATTATCGAGTGTCAATACCGACCAAGATATTTAATGATTTAATAATCGTCATTTATATTGTTCAATGGGGGCCGCATAAGGAGTGCGGGCAATTTCTTTGGGTTTATTTCATTGGTCGTCCAATTAAATTAACCACAGGAATCGCCTACACTCCGTAAGCGGGCCGTCCCAAGGGCTTAGCGTAAGTTTTATGACGTTTACGTTCACTTTTGATCGTGAGCTCATTAAGATTTTGGTATGGAATCCGGTACAGCGCCCCTAGCGATAGCTATCAAGAACTATAAATCTCCATCCAAAGTCTTAACGCGGTCTAATTAATACGATAACTTACACTTGCTTTAAATATACTTTATAAATATTTCTAGCCCCGATCTGGAAATGAAGAAGGACGAAGTGAAGATTTACGAAACGCAGCAGGGGATGGGATATTTTTAGTTGTTAGTTATGAGTTCCTAGGTTATACTTTATTATGAATAATTATCATTATATTTTCAAGTGGTAGAGTACAGTGTAGTTATTGATATATGAAGTGCATTAAGTGTAATTAAGTAATAAAATTTATTTACCCACAAGTATTTTTATTATTTTAAATACACCTTCGTCTTGATAATGATTGAATAATAAATTTAAACCGTTAAAAATTATACGATTCAAAGATCTGAAATCTTACGATTCAATGCTTTGTTTAACAAATGCGCCAAACATTAACTAAACGCTAAGTTATACCTTTTATCAATTTCGTCAGAATATAATTGACTACAATTATTATAACCTAATCTAACCTAGCTTTACGATAGTTCATAGCTTCATATTCTAACGAGTAACGAGATGTGAAATAACAATTTTATGTTGATATAAATATCAAAAGGTATTTAAGTGAAGTCCTGAAGACCTCTGAATTTGATCAAATGTTTAATATTATTTATAACTTAAATGAAGTGTAAAAAAAAAACTTTGGCATTAGGTCTGTTTCACACATAAACTCACATTTCGTAATCAGACGAATCTTTAGTAAACGTCTCTTTACTTTTACAATTTGTAACAATCGCACACAATTTGCATAATAGATAACATTACCGTAATGGTAATTTATGAAATCCCCTTTTAACAAGAAGTAAGGGTAACGTTTCCTTAAATCGACGGAGGAGGAATTTAATAGCGGGAATGTCAAATAATAAATACGATAGAGATTGCGAGTACGGAGTAAGCTTTTTGTGTATATTTTACAAACCCACGGCGCGTAATACTAGAGTTAGATATACACTTATTATAGACAACAAATAAAAAGCTTTTTTAAAACAAGTTTTCATTTGGTGTATTGTATTCTACAAGTAAATCTCTTCGATTTGATATCCGTATTGGTTGTTCAGAAATATGATCAATATCTAAAGGTACTTTTGAAATTTAACCTAAAAACAGAGCCTGGGAAGCGGGTAAAAAGCTTTCAAGATTTGATAACAGAAAGACGAACATCGGATAGGTGAAACTAAATAAAAGCCTGTAAAAGAGGACTTAAGTTAGTTCTTAGTTGAAACCATTAGTCGCTTAAAGCAAATTGACAACGACAAAAGACAGAACGTCTAATTGTGACGTGCTGTCTTATTTTGTTCAAACAAACTCGAGAAACGCTTTGTCTGCACTCAAATGTCACTTTCTCGAGTCGAGAGTGAGATGTTGTATGAGCGCACCCGACAAAAAGTTGACATTTGAGTGTCTGGTCCTAAAATTAGTCTTCGTTTTAGAATAAGGTGGATAATGTCTCCATGAGAGTAGGTGCCTCGATAAAATGAACAGAGTTTAATGTTTCTTCAAAGTAAGTTTGATATAATTATTATTAATATTCATCAGCAACCTATTAATGTCCCCACTGCTGCGGCACAGGCCCTTCCTGTGAATGGAATCGAATCGATTAGGGCGAATGGACCATGAACCACCACGCGGGCCCCTTAGTGAGTATTAATGACTACAGATTCAGTTACGATCAACTCCAAACTGAGAATTTTATGTTGAACACGTCTCAAACCGAGCTTAAGCCATTTTAAATATCATCCAAACAGGTTAACATTACTGAATTATAATTTTTTAATGAACAGTTTATATCAATTTGTTGAAACTAGGACTTTTTGCCATATGAAACGTAAAAAACTTAAGTTATTGAGACTAATCAATTGAGATTTCGGCCTTTTCTCAATTCAGAAACCGGCCGTTAGCGTGCATTCCGATGAACGATAGAGCTTGAGATAGTCGCGCTAAACACTGTGCCATCAAGCTTGTATTAGTATCGTATATACTTATTTGTTTGCAGCTTCGCCAAAAAGTTATTAGTAGGTATGCACTAGAATACTGCAATTTATCACATGTCGAGAATTCAACAGTTCTGTTCAATAAAATGTGTACCTAATCTTACTTCCTTTTTACTATATAATTACTATAATATTATAAATGTGAAAGTGTATATGAATATATGTATGTTTGTTTGTTACTCTTTTACGCAAAAACTACTGAACGGATTTTGACGAAATTTGGTACATCATACGGACATCTCAAAGTCTGAATTACCATACAGGCTACTTTCTATTCCATTAAACAAGTTCCCTAGGGAGCATACGGGTGAAGTCGCTGGCGGACTATACCTACTTTATATATATATCTTATATACTAGTACTTAATATATCAATTGTATTTTTGTACCTAAGTATACAAAAATACAACGTGTAAAAAATTCAAGAAGATCGGAAAACTACTTTAAGTGAGTCACGATTTGAATATACAACTAATATTGCAATCATGTCATTGTTATTCCGTAACTGTAGTCATCTGTAGTCTATATAGCGTGCGACCAGTACAGTCAATAGCATAACGGGCTATAGAAAACAAAGTATTTTCTAATCTATTTTAAACCCTAATTCTTAGTTAGCAAAGTTCAAAATCTTTTACGAAAATCTGTAACCTGTCTTGCACTATGTGTATGTAGGTAGCTATTTAATTAAAGGTCGCCTTTGAAGTGGGATCCTGAATCTACATTATAATTTTGGCGATTCCTTTTCGAACGATGTTCTTGAACGTTTTGTGTATTCAGGATGTGGGTTTCTTGTTTTTGTTGACTTAATTTATTTAAGGATGTTTAATTTCAAAAGATCATAAGTACGCCCTCATATTTTTGGTTAATAAAATATTTAAAGAAAAATGCTCATAAAATTATCTAAATCAGATACCGCGACAGACAGACACGGGAATCGAAACCTTTTGCGATCCGGAGTGCTCTAAACATTGATCGAGACCGTGTGACTTTGAATACTACTGTTCTCTATTTACTAGTTATTAAAGTTGAACAATTGACAAATATTTTAAACCTTCATTAAGATGAAAATGTTTTCTAAATAATATTTAAATCTTAACTATGATGTTATTTTCTGTTATTTGTAATTAAATTTACGTATAGGTTGAATCTCTTTCTGCGAAAGTTGCTTTGTCTATAACAATTTAAGGAATTAAATCTCCCTTTGTGTAACTACCTCATACAACTTTAATTACTTTCGATCGCATTACACAAGGGAGGTGAGACAGCGTGTCAATTTACGCTACTTTAATTACATAGAGTATAGAAAAGTAATTATTTGACTCGTGTCGTAGCTAAGTAAGTAACTAAGTAAAAATAAATTGTGTTTCGTTGCGGAAACGCGTGTGTACTATTTATCTATATATATATATATATATATATATATATATATATATATGTATATAGGTATGTATATAGGTATGTATGTAGTGGTAATCCGCAAAACGAAAATTAATCTTCAGAGCTGTAAAACGTTTTATTAAAAAAAGCTTATGAGGGAAGTAAGATTAAAAAAAATATATTAAAAGCTGTGGTTTTGCTTTCTAGCGTTGATATAGGTATATGAAAATCTTGTGTCACGATGTATGTCATTGATAAACTCCATCATCATCAAATCGAAATCATGTACTGTAGTTTGGTCTAACTTAAAAGATTATTATTATCTCGAATATTAATATTATACATTCGCTTAAATTTTTAAGCTAATCTTTTAAGAAACATTCGCAAATCTTTTTATTTGCATCAATAATGTTCAAAGAAAAAGCACTCAGAAATATATATTTTGTATGTGTACTTTCAAGTAAGAATAATAATTGTTTTAGTAATGGGAAAATTTATTTCATAGACGCTTCAAGTTAATCTATATATATAAAAGAAAGTCGTGTTAGTTAAATCATTTATAACTCGAGAACGGTTGAACCGTTTTTTTAAGATATTTGTGTTTTTGGATTTGTCTTCGCCGGGAATAGGATGATAAGTATTATTATAAAAGACTCAAAAAAATTAGTGATATGAAAAAAGTGATTTGTCTTGGATTTGTCACAATAAAATGCAATAAACGGTTTAAATTATCGCTAAATCGTAAATTTGCTCAGTCATGGACTATGTTAAGCCCCCCTAGCAGTTGGTTAATATATAGATTGAATAATCGAGGTGAGCTTAAGCCCCCCTGTCTTACCCCACATTGTAACCCATACATATCAGAAAAACGTCCTGCCCATCTGACAGTTTTCATCGGAGTAATCTAGGTTATATTTTTTTACATTCAAATTTCGTGGTCGGAACAAAGCTCGTTGGACCACTAATAACGTATATGAGAACGGATACCAAAAAAAAATGCTACGATGCAGCTACGGTTGCGTAGCACTGTTACGCTGCGTAGTCTAGCCTGTAGTTATTATATTTCTTCATAGGGTAGTAATTAATATATTGTAGTGTTGTGACGGGTTCGATGCTTAGGCAAACGAATAAAAGGCTGAATAAGCTTGAGAATCTGATTTATTAAAGGGTAACAAAAAAATAACCCGTTTCTGGGTTTTCCGTAATAGGTAAAATTTAGTACACATTTCACGAAGATATACGTTTAAGTGTTTCTTATTTAAATAATAAAAATTTATATTGGATTTATATGATAATATGATTAAAATTATTATGTTCTCGCCGGATTAATTTTTTACGAACTGACATTCATAAAGAGCATATTGGATTACTCAGAATTTCAAATTACGAAAGGTAATTATAAAAAAAAATATTGAAGATTAAAGACAAAAAGTTTACATGTGCATACCTAGGACGAAATAAACGGTGGTACGGCCGGCGCACCGTTACAGTGTTTATCGTTACACCGTTAAATGTCTTGAAATGACAATGGGCTAAAAAGGGGACAGAACCGGATCTTCTGCCCTACTAATCGCTGCCATACATCTGTGTATCGTTTTCGTAGTGCATTTGATTGTACGACGACCTATATCGCCCCGTACAACAAACCGTAGTTCTGTGGATAGCGATATGTATCTATTTTTACTCAAAAACTATTAGTAGCAGAAAGTTTTAATTTGACACGAGCGTACACGTTAATTACGCAGACAAAGTGGTAAAATAAAATCTTGAAAAAAACAAAAATAAGACTACCTGCGTCCCTTCCATGTAAAGTGGGGGATGAAATCTATTATTTCATCTTGCCCGTT